AACCTGTAAGCCCGTTGCTGCAAGTTAATGCCAAGATGCCACCATAGATAATATCAGGAGTAAGATAATATAGGTTATTTTCTTATTATCCTATGTTATCTTATTATCCTATATTATCTTACTCTTATATTAATAGGGAATTATCTACTTCTGATAATATATAAAGCTAATAAATAGGTAATTATAATATATATATATATATAACTTTTATATGATTATATGATAATATTTATAATAGGTATTTATTAGCAGATATAATGATATTATCTACTTCTAATAATATAGACGAACACACGACACAACAACAACGCAAGTCAGCAATCCATGTGTTCGTATACATCTATGATGGAATTTACGAATGTCAATGATGTTGATGTTATACGAGAATAGCGTTGATAGAATCGCTATCTCATAGCTATGAGAAAACCTACGATAACAGGAATGTGATAATTTGCCGCGCTCACAAGGCTGCTGATTCATTAGATGAGAATCGATCACAAAACTTATTTTTATACACAATTATTGTTCTGGCCCGGATGATTCTGTCAACGGTCTACGAGTCGAATGTTACGACTAAAGTTAAGCCTAATTTTGTTTCTGGCAACGCGGCCCCCTAACCCTAACCCTGACCCTATGCTTTCTCGCCCCTCCTCACTGGCAATGTGGGTGAAGCTATTTCCTAGTTCCTACTAGTTCCTAGTTCCTTATTTTCACAAATAAGTAAGTGGACTCTTATATTACGTTCAAACTCTCTACAAGCTAGAGAATATAGCATGTGNATGATAGTATGGCCAGGTCAGAGTCTGAACTTGGTTCGATCATAGTCTGAAGCTATGGTCTGAGAGAACTATATATATAGAGAGAGTGGGAGCACAGAGAGTGGTTGAGTGGACACTGTACGTGACTAGTCTTATCAAGAGCGTATATATAGAAGACCTTCTTGATATGCCCTTGGTCTTATCTATATATACGCATCGTACACACTCACAATACTACCTCTCTCTCTCTCTCTCTCTCTCTCTCTCTCTCTCTCTCTCTCTCTCTCTCTCTCTCTC